TTGCAAGCCTGCAAGGTGATGAGCAGCAACGGAAGATAGGAGCCAAAACAGCACTCCATTACAATGAGTTTAGAGAGTCCAGTGGTGGCTGAGCGAGAGGTGATAAAACCTATTTATATTGTCACCAGCACTGTGGTGCTTTCCCCCCTAAAGGGCTTGCTCAGTAGTCCCTGAGGTAACACAGTTACATTACTGGTTTGTGCAAAAGGTCTCATAAGCAATACCTCAGTTTTTCACTGAAATTAAACAGTGAAAACAAGTGAACCCAGATATGACTAGACGTAGAAAGTAATGGTGTTGTTTTCTTGTCCAGAAAGCTATTGGTGTTTGCACAGACCTTCTGCAACATACCATAGATAATTGCAGATCATTGACAAGATGCTGTAGCGCATCTTGGCTGTGCAATTGGGCTTGTGACCAAGACATGCCCAGCACCTCATTAAATAGCTGCAAATTATGAAACCTTACATGAACATCAATAGGATCTTGCCATTAACAGTTAAGACATTTCCATTTTGGAGAAGAACGCAGCAGGTGGGATCCAGAAACCTTTAAGAAGATATGTTATTAGCTTGTCTTCTGTAGGCCCTGACATCTCTCTTCCTTCACCTTTTCTCGTAGTTACTTCCAACTCTGTTCCACCTGAGGATACTGAGGGATCTTGTCCTTCAAAGATTAGGGCAGAACAGCACGTACACACCCCTTCCCAATCAACACGAATGGACCCCAAAGCCTGCCAAATTATTTTGGCACATAAAAAGGAAAAGCCCCCAAGTACCTCGGCTGGCCTCAGACAATGACAATGCAGTAATAAAATGGTGAACCATAATGTGCTGCTCCTTCATAACACCCTAACATCTGCTGTCTGGGGCATGCATTTCACTATGCCTCCCAGTATGGTCAGCCCTTACCTAAGACCCAATTTATAGGCCGTAAATAAAGAGACTAAATACAAATAAAGCAATGGACTGCAGCTTTGAGGATAAAGCACTTATACGAAAGAAACAAGATACTTCTTAATATTCACTCTTGGCTGCTTTTTATTTAATGGAGTGGCCATTAGCAATCACAGTGCAAATGCTGTGAAAGCTTCTTCTGCTAGCTTGTTTCTGTTTTGTTTTTAAATACAGAATTCATTCGTTTTTTCATCCCTTGCCCTGCCTCTCCCTTATATAAAATTCCGTCTAGCAACAAACAGAGAAACACAGAGACAATTTATTTTATTTTATTTTTTAGATCTGTGGGGATATTTCCTAGCTCTTTAACCAACATACTGTATCTGGTACTTAAAGTTCTGACAGAGTCATTTTGTCTACACAAGATTACTACTGTTGTCTTGTTATATTATTTTACTCTCTGTTGTGCAAGGAAATGGAGCTGTTCAAAAACAAAAGAACCATGACTAGCAGGAAAAATCTGCCTTATACAGAGCCAAGGCATCATTCTGCTTTGCTTTTTTCCATGGATTTATGTGACCAAATGAATTTAGTTGACAAATGATTGGATACTGATGACTAGATATAATAGAAATGGAATGGAACAATTTCACTTCCAATTTGTTTCTTGGTGAAACTCGAGATGGTGAGGCCTTAGATCTTCTGGGGCCATGATATCTGAAGTGCAACATCATCATGGCCATGACTGACTGTCAGCATTATAAATCATTATATGTCCCTTTGCCTAGAGAAGTTTGGTTTGGGTGGGGAGGGTGCTCAGAACTCCCTCTTGTTCCTCTCCAGCATTCTTATCTTGTTTTGGATGGACAATATACATTGCTATGTTCCATCAAGCTTTTAATTCTGTGTACAGTGTTTTTCTCTCATTCATCAATTTTAATTTCATGCACATGTTACTGCTTTTGCTCCCCAGTTCCTTATGTTTTATTGGATTTATCAGAAGATTTAATAATACTTTTATGTCACGCTTTCTAAGGCACCTACCTGACAAGGGATGGATCTGGTTTATAAATTTAATGAGCAAATTATAACACAATACAGTATTCAGGGGAAAGTCCTATCATATTCAACAGAGCTTACAGTACTTTCAGCAAATTGACATGCATAGAACTGCAACATAGCTCTCTAAGAAGCCAATTTTCTTGTTATGCAAGACTTTTATTGAATGCCAAGATAGTGTTTATATTTCTATCCTGTAACAATTTGTATACAGTAATGGCCAAAATCTACCAAGAAGCAATTCCATAGTAATGCATTTATGTTCCAAACAGAACTATTACCCTACTTTATATTCTCCACCAGAAAAGTTCCTCCTTATGGCTAAAACATGCCTCAATATTTTTTACTGAATGTAGTTATGCTTTCTGTTATAATAACATTAGGAGCCTTGTGGCACAGTGGTTAAACTGCTATAATGCAGCCAAAACTGCTCAATCCCAGGTAGCTGGCTCAAGGTTCACTCAGCTTTCCATCCTTCCAAGGTCAGTAAAATGAGTACCCAGCTTGTGGCGGAGGGTGTCAGGGTTTAGCCTGCATAATTGTAAGCCACCCAGAGAGTTCTTTCAGCACTATAAGCAGCACACTTCACATTTTTTTAAAAGCATGTGCTAGATTTTGGCTGTAATACAAGGCAGGTGCTCTAGAAATCATTAGAATATTGTCCTTAAGATTTATGCAACTTTTTGTTATCACAGCCATATTGTGCATACCATGGTCCCATGCAAGGCCAAAAATGCAGCCAGGCAGCAGAATGAGCATCTAAATGTACACCTTGTGTTTGTGCAAAGATTTGTGATTGTTGGAAAATTCATCCTCGTTCAGGATTTTAATCATACCAGTCCACTGAATTTTTCATCTGGGCAACAGTCTGTTATAATTTACAGTGGCAAGAAGCTTATCAGTTAATTATGGTACTCTAAGTGCAATTATGTAAATAACTGTGCTGAATCATTGCTACTTAAAAAGTTGCCACTTGTATCATATGTCTCCAAGAACAATGGCCTTTCCAAAGGTAATTTATACAAATTACATATTTTTGCTCACCTCAGGAACTTTTTGTAATTTCTATGTTTCCTCATAGACATAGATACTTCACTTCAGGCTAGTCGATTTCTTAGCTAAATATTAAAGAAGGACACTAGTAAGAGTCTGGGTAACAGGTACACCTTTATTTATTTATTAAAACTCACATCTTAAAAGAAATAGCACCATATACATTTCCAACTGGGATACATTTTTTTTTAAATTTGCTGTGTACATTTTGGTAACACAAAATGACAATGACCATATCCCTAAAATGAAACATGGTTGTCCATTTTAGAGATACCATGTCTAATCAAGTTAATTAAGAAGATATGTCTTTTAATTTATTACAGTTTTTAGGGGAAGTTGACTTGTTTTCATAGGCAGTATAAATAGGCTATTTATATAGAGAGAACAACATTCAAATTGGTATTACACTGAGCACATACTAAAACATCTAACAGTCTCAGCTTATGCTACAAAAATATATACATACTGTACATATGGCTCAATGACAGAAAAACATACAATTAAGTAATATACCTATTTCCTTCTGAGGCTTCCTATTGACTACAAGAAGCTTTATTTTGGTGCCTTGTACCCACAATTCATCTTTGTTTTTAAAAGGGGGGGGGAGTTCTGGCTCATAATGCATAGGGCATGCTAAAGGCTTCTACCTGCGGTCAACACTCAACATAGAATTAATGATAAAGTGCCTCCCCATTTAAAAAAAGACATGGAACAGTACTGGCACATCTAAAAAGCCTGCACTGGATAAATCTGGTAGGTTACGGTAACCTAAAGTAGGACTGAAAAGCTGTGTGCTCACTTCCATCACCCAATTCAGTTGTGTTCAGTGGAGGTAGCTGTAACGGGCTAACAATGCCCAAAACTTGGAAGTTATTTTTCTGAACCACACATGTCAGAATTCTCCAGTCAGATTGTGCACTAGGTTTATCCACTCTTCCTATCCCCCAATCACTCCACTTCCAGCTTTGATTGGAACTAACCTGCCTCATTCCTAATAATGATGGAATCTCTTAATTTTGGGCAACCCTGGGAAGAACTATGGGAGCACTTAAGAAGGCTCTCATTTATTTTGGTACAGTATTCTGAAACTGTTTCTTGCATTATATGGCGTCCCGATGCAACAGAATAAAGGGCAGTTCCTTAAAACAAGATGTTAATGGGATTTGCTACTAAGTAAATGTGGGTAGAACGAGGGCATCAACACGGCCAGGAAATCAGCTTTTAAAATGAATTCAGTGAAGTAAGTTCTACAGTACCAAGAAAAGGGAGCAGTAGATTTCAGTCATTTTTATTCATTATTAACATTCACATTAATTCCTAGCTCACATTGCAAAATAGGTCCAAGAAAGTTGTATCACAATAGCAGCTTTTTAATCATTAAATTGCAGAATTAGGAGGCAATAATAATAATAATGTCAAGTGAATACATCCAACAAGTATCTTCAGTTACACTCCTATACTACTACAATACTCAGTTTGTGAGGTTAGGTTTCACCATACAGGAGGTATCCATTCATTGTCCCTGGAGTTCATTCTACTGACAGACTTGAAAGTAGTCATATCATCAATCTGCATCCATTTACATCTTGGCCCACTCAGAGCCCCAGTGTTACAAAAACCTGTCTGTGATTTTTTGTTTCCTAGGTTCCATGCTGTGTTTTTGAACGCATGGTGGCTTTGTCACCTCTCTGTCTTTCATCCACTTTTTTCATCCACTTCTGATTTCAAGTAAACAGAGATTTTTTTTAAAAAAAGATAGTGAAATATCAACCTTTTTTTGTTCCAAAATAACTCTACTGTATAAGCTAATACAATCACTCGTCACTAAAGAGCTTGCAGTTAGCACCCAGTTGAATATGAAATCCCAGTACATTTAGCTGCAAGCCAATTACCCCTGGAAGATGCACCCATTGATCTGTTCCTCTCGTGAAAGAGTTGCATTTTCAAGCAATCAAGTGTCAACATTGCACTTGACATAGCAGGTCTGTCTGTACAAGTGCATCCAAAGAATCTGTTGTGTGACAAAGCACTTCTGCTTACATTTCTGTGGAAGAGAAAACCCTTCCCTTCCCCCAGTTTTACAAGAATGTGGGGCTGCAGAGTCAGTGACACGCACTGGATAAGTAGAGGCACCTTCGACATCCACAGCTAGATCTTTCAACACAAACAAAGAACACCTACTCAAATTGCATTGTTCATCCATGCATTTGCTACTCTGCTATCAAGTGCCATTTTCCCAGGACCATGGCAAAATATTTGCCATTAGCATCTTGGTTCTTTTAACCAAGAAAGGCTTTGCCCTAGATAAAAGAACTTCCCAAGCACAAGCTAAATGATCTAGAATCGTGTACTACTACGTATAACCAGTTTGGGTTCACTCATTTTTTTGGGAGTGCCCTTTGAGCTACTGTCCTTTACGATGACATCTTCTGCCCACGTAGGTTCGGCAGGGATGGCCACCATGTCTATCTTCTTGAAAGATTTCTGCAGAGTTGGCGAAAGGCCTCCTTTTCCGTTGTAGCCATTCACCTGAGCAAGGAACGCTTCCTGCTGGCTACAACACAGGTGAGGATTGCAAGCTGCAGAGATACATGGGAAACTGCATAAGATCTCGGGATTTCTGTGGTCCACGTACTCCGGCTGGATGGTGACTGAATGGACTCCAGCTTCATGGAACACCTCTCTCATTTTGTAGGAAGCCTTTTCGTAATCAGGCACTGAATTACACTTGATGTGGACAGTGGCCATATTCTTTCCTTTGACAAGCTCCCAGACATGCACCTCATGAATGCTGCTAATCCCTGGCACATCTAATAATTTGTTTGCTGTGAAGACAGGGGGAAAGCAATGAAAACAAAAGAGAAAATATATATAGTTAGATTTCTGTGACAACCCGTAGACAACACCAATTTTATAGGAATGCTGCCAAAAAGCAAGGCCAAAAGCATACAACAGTGTTTAGAATATTTCATTACAGAACAAGTAGACTTTGGAAAGCTACTTTTAAAAACTCATTTGTTCCCATTATTCATTATAGCACATGGAAAATAATCTATTGCCATTATAGGTTGCAATGTTAACAAGTAACTTGTTGCATTACTTGCTTCCTTCTGTTACTATTAAAAAGAAACCTTACAATTGATAAAAGGAGGATGCAAAGTAACTTCATAAAGTAATTGGGAAACACTATTTAACACCTGTAAAGTAGCTTTCCTTACCCATTAGACTGCTGTTGAAGTATGATTTCATTACACCTCTGTTACTACAAAATGGTAGTTCATCACTGATTATGATATTGCATGTAAATAGTTACTTGAAGAACAAGCATTTGACCCATATCTTCTGCTTACATAACAGATAGTTGTTTCTGAAATCTCCAGGATCAGTAGGGCCCTAACCTTCTCTTCAAATGATATCAGCCTGCTACCAATAATGGCAATGGCTTTGAACAAGAGAGTAAATTTCAGGTTGCTGAAATAGTTCCTGCTAATTGTAAAAGCATAACTAGAATTTGCAACACAACTTAGTGTCATGTAAGCTATTCCTAGGGCTGCAGAGCCATCAGTTCATCTCCCACAGTACAGGAGTACGGTGAAATGGAGTTTCCAACGTGTCAATGGAGCCAAATATGAGATTATAAAAGTAGATTCTACAATATGATTCATTTATTAGTTGTATTTCTATTAGTATGCTAAAAGTTGATCGAAAGGTTGTGTGTGTAGTTGATCCCTCTCCTATTTTATAATAACCCTGTGAAGTACACCAAGGAGAAAGAGTGAACGATCACCCACTAATTTCGTGGGTCATTATACCTGGAACTTCCAAGGGGCAGTTCAATACCAGGACTATTCTTTTTTCAGAAACCACCACCCAATAAATATTACGTTATCTCTCATACCAGGCTGAAAACAAAACTCAACACAGCTTTTTAAAGAGCCAAGTGTTGCTTTTGCTTTTCCAGTCCTACTTCAGAAAACACGGTCTGGGAAGAAAAAAGTATATTGTTTCCTGCCTCGTCTTACAAAATCATATAAATAATAAAATCATCACTTAGCAACATTTTACCAACTAAGTGTGCTTGACAGCATACGTTTCCCTACAGGTTTACAGAAGCAAATTCAAAAACCAAACTAATTAATGGAACAGCAAACTGCCTGTAACGTAACAGAGTACATCTATCTGTCTCTGATTTTTTAAGGTATCTCGGATCACAAACATCTACAGATGCACACTACAATTTCAAGAAACAGCAGCTCACAATCAGAAGTTCTGCATATATTGTAGCATTACTGTGTTTTCAAAGTGCATGCTTTTCACTAATCCTCAAAGATTTGAGGCCTGTTGCTAGGACACCACCGTGTGACCCAAGTTTTTTAAAGCTCTTGAGAATGTATGAACTGCTAGTGGTGGGTGTATAATCTAGAGATATTTCTCTGTAAATAGCACTAGCTTTAAGTATTCCAACAGTAAAAAATACAACTTACTCAGTATTTGCATGTTAACATTCTTGGGAACCATCTGTAGCAAAATGGTTGCTGTCTCTTTAATGAGCGGAAAGGCTGAAGACAGTATAATGGCCACCATAACTATGGTCAGGCTGGGATCAATGTAGCATTCCCAGTTACAGGGGGTGTTCTCATCCAGGGGAAGTGCATAGAATATAGATGCAGCCACCACCACAATAACTGAGCCAAGGGCATCTCCCAATACGTGCAAAAGGACACCTGGGATAAAAGAAAGAGGAAGCATTAGGTTCTGATGAGGAGGATGGAGAGGAAGGAATTACCTATGAAAGTGCACTTTTGAAATTATCATTTAATAAACAACATTAAATAGAAAAGTTTGACCTTAACACACAACAAGGAAAGCATGGGAGAAGGCTTTACTTATGTGATCATTTTGCCTGAAGGGCCAAAGTGAGGGAACAGGCCCTGGGAGAGAGAAGGGGGGGCTTTGTTTATGTCAATATAATTTAATGTTGTTTATTTACAATTGTTGATTATTCTTTTATTTTGTTGTAAACCATCAAGAGTGGCCTTTGAAGCCAGATGGAAATATATAAAATAAATAAATAATAAATTTGCTCTTCAGGGAGCAAAAGTGCCAGCCATGCTCAGAAGCTCCCAACTTATCGGGATTACAAATGCTCCCTGGAGGCTCATCTAAAACCATGTAGAAAGAATGAGTTTGGACAAGGTGACAGTCTCTCTCGAAAGGTGGTGCCTTAAAAGTTTGGAGAAGGCCCCTGCCAAACGGATGTACCTCTGATGTTCAAGGCTTCAGACTTCTTTTCTTTTTTCTGTACCTCCTGCTCTTCTGTCTGTTTCTGGGGACTTATGGAGTCACCTGCATTCAAAGAAGAAACGCTGTGTTGTGTATAAGGTCTACAAACAGAAAAAACACCAATCTTTTCAAAACCAAAACTTGAAGAGTCAAATACAAGAGGATATACTTCTAACCCTCTCACACTTGCATGTCAAAAACACATAGAGCATTCTGATGAGCCAATAAAATACGGAATTAAACTGCATGAACTCCGTGTTAATGATAACTTGCAAAATGAACAAGCTTTCTCACAGACAAACTATGTTTACCCTCCTTTAAGGGTTATACAATCTCTCCAATATCTTTTGTATGTATAGTGGGGAGTAAGTTACTGTATTTTAAGGGCATAAAAGCCTATGTAAGCAAAACAAGAGATAAAAGCATTTGACCAGAAGCAAAGTTACCCAAGAAGTTACCCCTTTAGTGGAGGAAAATAGCAAAAAGGAATGGATGAAGATAGGACAAAAAATGGCACCATAAGCATTAAAAAGAACAAAAAACTGAAAAGACAGGAAAAATGTCTAAAAGGGGCACTGAAAAAGGGAAAGGGAGGGCAGAGTACTGAACTGGAGACAGCACAAAATTAGGTGACATTAAAAAAAAATACAAAGTATATGGGATATGATGAAATGACCTGAATAAAGGAGGAGGAAAGGGAGAAGTAAGACTTGAGTAAATAGGAAAAATAAGATGAAAATACCATTTTAACTTATTGTAGTACTCGAGTGAGCTGAAGGACTACTACAGGACTCTCTCCTCATTTTCACCTCACAACAACCCTGTGAAGTAGATAAGGTTTCTCTCAAAAACTGGCTGCCAGAGTGCGGTTAAGTGCGGTTACCTTACTGCTTTGAATTTGTTTTTGGCGTTTCTTTTATAGCTTTAAATATTGCCTTTTAATGAAGTAAAGGTGGGGTAATTTTGATAGATAGATAGATAGATAGATAGATAGATAGATAGATAGATAGATAGATAGATAGATAGATAGATAGATAGATAGATAGATAGATAGATAGATAGATAGATAGATAGATAGATAGGGTCGGTCGGTCGGTCGGTCGGTCGGTCGGTCGGTCGGTCGGTCGGTCGGTCTGAGAGTGAGCTACTATCTAATATCAGTGGGCAGGACTGATAGAAGAAATAAGGCCAAACCTAAGAAGAATTAATGTAAAAGAAAGAAGAAATTAAAAGAAAAATCCTAAAGGAAGAAAAGCATCTTAAAATAAGAAGGGTGATAGAGACAAGAATGAAAACGCGGGATCAGAGGACTTAATCCCCTTAGCCTGTTGCATCCCCCAAAAAGTGTTGCGGCTCCTTAGTTTTAAGGGATGTACACAAGTCTGTCTGCCGGAGCTCTACCTCAAGCGTCTGAAGAAGAGGGCTGCGCAAATGTTTCTGCCAAATAAAACTCATTCCTCCTGAAGATACCGCGCGGATGCCTGGTTTTTGCTGCACCAGAAAAGAGTAAGGGAAGGATGGACAGGAAATGGAGAAGGGAGGGTGTGTGTGAGGGGGGGGAACAAGGCGGTTCAAGGCAACGGGAGAGCCGGGGAAGCGACCGAGGGGCACCTGCTTCATCTCCGTCCTCGGCCTCGGCTACCACCTGGGCGAGGTCGGTGGCGTTTCCCGCGCTCTCTTCCGGCGAGGAGGCGGTGGCGGCGGCGGCGGCCGGGAGGTGGTCGGCGGAGGTTGACGGCGAGGCCCAGCGCGCCCACCACGAGGATGAGGAAGGGGTCCCGGATCCCCTCGGGCTGCGCCAGCCGCTGCACCGCCTCCACCAGGATGGTGAAGCAGAGGGCGGCCAGGAAGACGGCGTTGCTGAGGGCGCCCACCACCTCGGCCCGCCCGTAGCCGAAAGTGGCGGCGGGAGCCCGGCGGCCTCGGCGGCGAGCGATGCGCCCCGTGGAGATGCCCACGCACAGCGCGATCATGTCGGAGAGCATGTTGAACGAGTCCGAGATCAGCGCGATGGAGTTGCCCACGTAGCCGGAGACCAGCTCGGCCACGAAGAAGCTGGCCGTCAGCACCAGCATGAAAATCAGGCGGCACGTCTGGCCCGTGTAGCGCCCCATGGCCGAGGCTGGGGCGGCGGAGGAGGCTGCGCGGGTTGGGGGGGGTCTGCCCCCACTCTTGACTCCTAGGCGAGGGGGACTCGCTGCCTTCACCTCTCGGCGCTGCCGCCTCAGGGTCGCCTCGGCCGGCTGGCGTGCAGCACCTTTGCCCCGCCAGGCAGGCAGAGAGGGCGAGGCGCGAGTGCCCGGGCTCGGCTAAGGACTCTGCACTTTGCTTTATAGAGGCGCGATAGAGGCGGCATCGCCTCCTCTCCACCCCTTCCCCGGGCGGCCTTTATCGCTCCCCACGAGAGTTGCAGACGCTAGCTTTTTTTTTTTTAAGAAAGTCTGTCAGAAGCAAAGAGCGAGGTGCGCCTAAGGAGGAAGAGCCCAGGGTGCTAACTTTTCTCCTGTCCACCCCCCCCCTCCGCCTGCTGGGTATGCCAAGCACCTGGCATCAAGAAATAGCAGGTGCTTGTCTGGGCACCTGTTGAATTTTGACAGACCAGTGGGAATATTCCTGCCTCTTATGTCTCTTAAGATGTTCAGCAAGAGAAGGATGTTCACTATGAGACCTTTGAGTAGATTCATATCATCACTGGATGCAATCTTTCCATTCCTCAAAGGTGTAAAATATATATTTCACCACAGTGCAAGTTTAAAAAAAAACTACCCAAGCAATTCAGCAATACTTGGTAATGATGGTGTTTATGGCATGAATCCTAGAATCCATCTTAATAGTTATTAGCCGGCTCTTTTGTTGTCCATAATAAAATCTATTGAGCCGGAAAGAAAGAAAAAGAAAAATTGGCTCTTAGAGAATGCTCAGGGGAAACGATTAAGGATAAGAGTAGCTTGAACTACTTTTATTGATATTTACATTATTATTTAACTGTTTCCTTTACTAAGCCAGTCTCCTATTTAATTCATTTTTTAAAAAAAACCCTCTGGTTTATGAATGTGGATTATTGTGCTTCTGTAACCACTATTCAAAATCCCAGGAAATGACCCAGTATTGCTGCACAGTATCATGCCACATTACCAGCAGGAAGAAGATGCCAAACTTTTTATAGCAAAGGACAGCCTGAATGGTAATATTAGCAGTCAAAATGGTCTTATCTACAGCATACCCTGTTGTGCTCACTACTGTTCACAAGAGACACCAAGCAAAGAAAAAACCCAGACACTGGCTCCTATTTTCATCAGTTTTTTGTTTCTCACCCAGACACAAAGCAGTTGTCAGTACTGGCTCCTATTTTCATCAGTTTATTGTTTCTCACCCAGACACAAAGTAGTTGTCAGGGCTGTTTTTCAACAAGTGGTAGATACACAAGAGGGTATCCTGTAGACTATCTTGACTGCTAGAGGTGGTGTTGTCAGCATTCAGGCTGCCCTTTGCTATGTAAAGCTTGGAACAATGTGGCATGATATTGTGCAGCATAATCAGAACATTTCCTGGTGTTTTGAATCATGGATACAGATGCACAATATTTACAAATCAGGGGATCTGAAGAATTGAATTTCCTGCTTTTTAAAATGGAAGTTTAAGAATACATACTTTACACACAAATTCCAGTTGAAACTTCTGTCATGTAGAATTACCCAGTGCTAGGTAAAGGTAAAGGTTCCCCTTGACGTTTAGTCCGGTTGTGACCAACTCTAGGGCGCAGTGCTCATCCCC